TACAACTCTCATGTTGGTAATTTTTCCATTTTAAGATATTAACTTGATGTAAATTTCTTTGACAAAAAGTGTGTTTCTATTGAATTTTCGAATGACTTGTAATGTTTTGGCACATATCTCTCAAATGAAGCATTTTTGGCCTTGAGCTTAGAGAGGAAAAGTTGTAGAGAATTATGTTTCCATCAGAGTAGGCTTTGGGTTGGGAATTTTCTGATGAAGCATGTGAATGTTGTGCTTGGTCAAAATTCAGTTGACTTCTCCTTAAGAAAGCCCTAATTTAGTAACTTTTGACTTTTGATGAATCTTGAGTTTTCTTGATGAATAATGATCAACCCTTGATCAAATGGTGAATGTGAGTTCAAAATTTTGATGTTGACCAAAACACTTAAAGTTTGACTGTATGTTGACCATAATTGACTCATTGTCCAATATAGTTGATTTTCAATCATCTGACTAATTGACTGAGCGAACTTTTGCTGCAAGGCTTGAGACTTAGTATGAGGATTATTTGTAGAATATGAGGAACCATGAAATTCACTTTAGGTATTAGAAGTCCCATTTTCTTGGAGAAAAACAAAACCTTAATTATAGGTCACTGCTTAGGAGAAGGGTTCATCTAATAAATTCTTGAACATTCTTGAATAGTTGAGAACCTTATAAGCGACGAGAAGATGTCTTGAACCAACTTGTCTTAAAAAATGGGAGGGCAAATTTTGGGGTACAACATGCGTGAAATAGGATAAAGGGCTTAATATGATTGCGCTCGAACAAAATGGGTGAAACAAAGCGAAAAGAATTAGGCTGAGCTATAATAGCATGACTGGAACTGGTATGCATAAGGAGGGGTTGTCTAGCGTTATTAATGTATCTTTGTTGTTGATATTGAGCTTACATTGTTCTAACGGAAACATCGTGCAACCACGTACAAATTTATTTGTGTCATGTAATTGCATTTAACATGTGCTTAAAAGATTTCCATTATTTGCTTGAGGACAATCAAAGGTTCAAGTATAGGGGAGTTTGATAACGCAAAAATACATAGCATATTCGACCCGAATTACATAAATAAAGTTCCTTTTTATCTCAATTATGATGCATTATGTTGGCAATTCAAGTTTGGTTCAAGTAATTATTTCATCCAAGGCCTACATGAGAAAAGGAGAACAAATGGAAAAGAAACGAACACAAAATCAGAAAAATAGCAGAAATAGCAAAAGAATTCATTTCAGAAAGCTGTAATGATCGTCACACCTTCCATTTCGCCTAGCACAAGTTGAACTTGTGTGCCCCTCGGCACACAAACCATTTTGATCGGCACAAGGTGGAAATACGTATGCCTCACGACACACATTGCATGCCGCGCGGCACAACCTATTTTTTGTTTTGTTTGACGCGCGAAGATTTCTCCATGATTCTCCATGTTTCCAATGCCAACGGCCTACATGATTTCCTCCTGGTCTTTCTCCACACATGGATTTTTTGAAGCATGAAGTCACACTCTTAGATTTTCTCAAGCAGTTTTATTATAGTAAAGCACTATAAAATGAAAGACGGTTATAAAAATCAAGCTCTCTTGTCTCCGCTATCTCATTTTTGTTACGTTATTTTGAATTTTCATTTTCTTTCATGCCAGTATTCTAGTTTCAAAAGTTCAGAGCTCTATTTAGAACTTAAGCAGATAAAACCTTCACCTAAACAACAATAGTTTTCTACATCAGAAAACTATTGCAACATAAGTTTCTTTTCATAGCCTCCTGAACTTTGTTTTTAGTTTTATATTTTATTCTACATTCAAGTTAGTTTTCCGCAAGCAAATTTTGCCGGCATAATGTGGAGGACTGCTATAAGTACTTGAAAAGTTGCAGAATTTCTGTTTTCATAATTTAATTCCAGGTTTTTAATTTAATTGTACTATTGTTCTTTATTTATCATTCATGCCTGAATCATTATATGTTTGTTATTATTTTATGTTCGTAACAAATAATATGTCCGGCTAATTTCCCTGATACAGGTATGTAAGGTCACAAACCCAAGGAGTTCGGTATAAATTGGCATAAACATTTTATAAAAATACTTTTTTGGTTTGGCTTCCAAATTTCAATATAAAACTATCTTGTTAGGAGAGTAAGAGATAGACTAAGGCTAATACCAATAATCACGAGAGTGTGAGTTTTTAACCAAATAGTGGTAATCAAACATTAATTTTTAATACAGCGAGAGAGGTTTATGATTAATTAGATTCTATTGTTTTCAAAAAGTATCTTTGAATTTTAAATGAGACAGCAAGAGCAATCATTTAAGTTTAATTATATAACCTGAATCAACAATCATGAGAGTGTGAGATAAAGGCTTTTAAACTAATAGTTTCTACTAAACAATGTTTTGAATACTCAAAGTTATGCCAATGAATTACTGAATTCCTAAAGTCAGACTATTATGTATCAGTATCCCACTATTAAATATTTTAATTAAGTCTAACCTTATTTTTCGTCTACCCCAAAACCTAAGATTTATTAGCCTTAGCTTTACACAGTAGCTTTAGATAGCAGTAATTTGATTACCAGTCCCTATGGATTTGATATCTTTTAAAACTACGCGATTAAACTGTGCGCTTGCAGTTAATACACTTGATAGACTCTTAAAGTCGCAATCATAAATTCTTGAGGAGTTCAGTATATCAGTTTGTAAACCTTTTGAGTCTCTTATGGATCCTAATGTTAAACTCCTTTTGGGACACAAGGTGCGATTGAGTAATCCAAGTATGCATCTAAGACTTGTTCCTAAGCTAAATTACATCATTATTAAACGTCTAGATGTTTTACGAATACATCCTATAAAATATTTGTGTGTTGGAGTTTGATGCCAAAAAGAGAGTTCGAGAGTGCAATCACTCTAGTTGAATATGAACCTTACTCATTAATGGGTTGTACAACATTTAAAACTCGAAAGTGAATTAGTTTAATGAGTTGGTGGGTTCAACCAATGGTCCTTAAATGGACACTTTAGAATCACCTACACGTCGAGAGTGGTATGACGACTCCGGGTCTCCAAAATGGTCACACTTTAACATCTCATTAGATCAAGGTCACTGTAATACCTAAGAGGATTAGATTAGAACAGCACCTAGATGTGCTAACATCAAGGCCTATAAAGCAGTGGACAATGAAGAAGGTTCTAGTAATATGCAAGCATGAGATGTACCTACCATAGAAGTATACTTGATAAGAGTTGATATGACCTTTAGTTTCGTTAAATCGTACATTTAGAGATCCTCTAAAACTTACCCTTAAGGAAAAGTGTAGTACGCATATAGGTTATAGGTCCTTCATAAACCCTTTGTCCTTCATATAAAAGACATAGATTAAATAAGTTTTAGCTACACACAATTCTAACATAAAGTTCTCACATTTAATACCATCACTTACTTGAGTGTGAGAGTATTTGCAGGTACATCTCCATTGCTGAAGTTAAAGATCATATTAGATTTCACCTTCAAATCTCCATTCACTTCCAATATATGAATCATAAAGGTTCGATTCGGAATCACTCTTTATGCAAAGGCTTAATTCGGATTATATCTTTGTTTATAAGTTTATTAATAGATATGTTGAACGCTACCTCTTAAACCCTTTTGAAAAATAACGAGTGTGGGTTAAGTGTATCTGTGATGGTGATTGCAATTTGATTAAATTTCACATAGAAGATTTTACACAATCTAAATATTTATAATGTGAAGGTAGCTGATTATATTTGAGTGATCCCAAAGGTTATAATTTTTTTTTTAACAAAATAAGACAAATAAATTAAAAATCATTAGACATATAATTCATTTTTCTCGCGTCAGCGAGTGTTTGACACACACACTTATCTATTCTCTTATTCATTTCATAATAGTTATATAGAGGAGAAAAACTTACATAGAAACGAATATAAATTTTTATTTTTAAAAATATTTATGAATTTTTTTATTAATTAAAAAATTATAATTATTTCTCTTTTCTTCATTACAATCACCACCTCCATTATTTTAATGAAAAAATATTTTAAAAATTAAAAAAATTTAAAGCAACAATATCTATTAGTTATTTCTAAGAATATAATTTATTTTTGTTTCTATATATGTTTTCCTCAAAATAGAGGTTTTTCAATTCTCTATTCACACCAAACTTTTAAGTTCCTCTCTTCTCCCTATTTTGCTCGTCGAGCTTTTGAACCCTTTCTTCTCTTTCTACTTGTCAAGTTCTATGAACATCTTTTGTCCTTTTTAAAAATTTCTCTTAAAAGAAAAGCCACTTTTGGATACTTTCTCTTTGAAGATAAGTCACCTTCAAAAAAAAATCCTATAAGATTCGAGTGATCTCATTACCCTAATTAAGAATGATATAAGTATCATGTACTATGGTGATACTCTAGAATAGTTAATACAATGCATCAAGACTATGCACAATAATTTATAAATTCAACACTCTCTTAAATCAATTTTAACATGTTTGTTATTCTCAAACAATTTACTGCCACCGTACTTTTTTTTTGTGTTTAGAATTGATATTTTATGAAGTTACAGTTCTTAGTTTTTTGAAATGAATTCTTCATGATCAATTTTTCTTTTTTTCTCTTAAATTAAACAATATCAATAACTTTCATCATCTTTTATTTTGTCCTTTTTGTCATTTATACATTCAGAAAGAATTTCTATAAAAATACCCTCAACAACATTTTTCATGCAAATCATTTTTGTTGGAAATATATTTAAATATAAATTATTTTATATTAAATTTAATTTTAATTAAAATCAATTATTTTACCGTAAATCCAAACACGCACTCAATTTTATAATATATTTTAAGGCAAAATCTATTTTTTTCAAAACATATTTATCATTCTCATTTCCATCATTCAACAATACTGTTAAATATTTATATAATAGCAACATGAAATAGGTAAAAAGTTGTTGAGCTACCCAAAATGTTAAACAAATTAATCTATTAAAAATTCACAAATTAAAGCTTTTCAGATCCCTTTTCACCACTCTTCTTTCCAATAGCTTTTAGAAGCACTTCATTAACTTCTCTAACATCAAGATTTTGATCCTCAGCCACAATAATAGCTTCCATAGAAAACCCATTTTCACAAGAAACTCTTGCTTGCTCAACATTCACACACATCTTTTCAAATGCCTCTAAAATATCAACCAACTTGTCACCTCCTTTCTCACATGTGACCTTCACCATAAATGTCCCTGCCTTTATTTTCTCTATTTTAACATCCTGTTAAATTTTGTAACATTAATCATAATCATCAATGCATGTTTTTGTGTTTTCCTATGTTAAAAGGGTTAAGAAAAAGAAAAGAAAAAAATAACATACATTGTTGTCATTGACATTATCATTCAATAGATTAATGTAGTATCTTCTAGTGGCTATTAGGTTTTCATACTCTCTTTTGAGATTTTCCAGTTCAAGCTTTAGCTTGTGTATATGTAGAAAAGTAATATTAGCAATGGGACTTCTCTTGATATTGGCCTTCAAAAAAAAAAAAAAAACCACAAAATTTATTACATGAAAAATTAACAAATAGTGATGGAATAGAAGAATATTAAAAGAAAAGTTAGAATGTTTTACATTGTTGTTGAAGTTGGTAAGAACTCGCTGAATATGAAGTCTTCTGCGCAATGATACTCTTTTCTGCACTCTGCAAGCCATGTCCTATATTTACTGGTTTTGCTATCTCTTGTGATTTTTTGAATGTTGAAGTGTGAGAATACTTTAACTTTGGCATGGTATTTATGGTTAGTGAAATGGAGTGATATGTCTTGGATTCTTGTCATTGGAAATTTGGAATTGATAAAAATATGCCTTGGCTACTTTATATTTGTCGTATATGAAATATGAAATGATAGTTATTATCTAAAAACTTTGTTTTCTTGAAAATGATGAAATTTTAATTGAGAAGATAGAATAAGTCTTAATTTTACCCATCATGTCTAAAACAAGATAAGTTTTCCTTAAAGTAAAACAAGAGAACAATTTAACAATAGAAGTAAATATGATTAAAGATATCATTTTTTCAAAATTGAACTTGTAGATTTTTCAATTGTTTTCATAGCCGAGTATACTTATATATGTCTTTTATATATATAATTAAGTGATGAAATTCATGTGATTAATAAATTCTATTAAAAATTAATTGTTTCTCTATATTGAGATATTAGACTTAATCTAAGTTGTTTCTCTATATAAATAGTCATAATTTGTATCATTATTGGTAACAATTCAATTCAATAATACAATCTTTATTTTCTTATTCAATCTCTTTCTCCTCTCATTAAAAGTGCCTCATGCACTATGAAATTACTATCTAGAGCTCCGATTAGATTCTTAATCGTGTTTTCAAGAATCACACATCAGAGATTGTGTTTTCGGTATTGTGGGTTATTCTCAAATCGTTGTGAAGATGAATGGTACTAACGACATTCCAAATTCTCTTTCAACTCTTGACAGTAAGAATTGGATTCGATGGAGAAAACAAATGCAAACTCTTTTTGGCTTTTATGAAATCCTAGAAGTAGTTACCAATGGCGTTCATGCGCTGGCTACTGATGCAGCCACACACATAGAACTGCTCACAACGAAGCCAATACAGAATGATTGCAAGGTTGCGCATTGCATTAAAACGGTGGTCGATGTAGAGAATTTCGACTGAATCTCTCATGCTGAATCGGCGAGTGAGGTATGGGATATATTTGTCAAGTAATATGAAGGAGGTGAGAAAGTCAAGGTTGTCAAGTAACAAACTTTACGACGATAATATGAATCGTATTCAATGGGAGAAGACGAAAATATTGTAGAGTATGTGTCGAAGGTACATAAACTTGTCTGTATCATGAAGGGTTGTGGTGAAACCCTAACTAATAAGATAATAGTTGAGAAGGTAATGCATACGTTGACCTCTCAATTTTATCACGTTATCGTAGCTATTCAAGAATCCAACCAGCTTGAAACCCTAAAATTGGAAGACTTGGTTGGTTCGTTAGAAGCCCATGAGATTAGGATTGTCGAAAGGAAAGGAGTTCAAGAATCGATACAAGCACTACAGGCTCATTCATGAAAATAGATTGGTGGTTCTAACAAATTCAAAGGCAAAATCGACAATCCCCAGAGCAAGAAGTCTTGGTTGAACCCTCATAAACATCAGGTCAATGATAGGGCTTTTGAATCCTCAAAAAGATGAGGAGGAAACTATCAAAAGGAAAAAAAGATAATAAATGGTGTGCAATGCTACAACTGTGAAAAATGGGGCCACTTGACCAAGCATTGTTGATACAGGAAAGACAAGGGATCAACAAAATGCACGAATGAAGGATCAAACCTTTCACGTCAAGACTCAGATGATTATGGAGATACGATAGTTATGGCTGCAGTTGCAGATAACCACGTCGAATCCAAGATCTGGTTCCTCTCCTCAAGTTGCCTGAATCACATGACTGGTCGAAAAGAGTGGTTAGTATATTTCGACAAGTCGAAGAAGAGTAAGGTTAAAAATTCTAATAATAGTTTGTTGCAAGCAGAAGGTACTGGCGATATTATTCTTCAAAGGAGCAATGGAGCTAAAGCTTTGATCAAAGATATAATTTATGTACTTGGAATGAAGTGCAATCTACTAAGTGTTGAAAAACTGGTTGAAAAAGGTTTCTCAATCATCATGAAAGATGGAGCTTTAAAATTGTTTGATACCCAGAACAATTTGGTCTTAAAATCTTCGTTGTCTAAGAATATGATGTTTAAGACTATGATCAACTCGACAGAGGTTAAATGTTTAAAAATAATAGTCTACCATAAGGATAGTTCGTTGTGGCATTTGAGGTTTGGAAATCTGAATTTTATGTCACTCAATCAGTTGATTACTCAAGAGATGGTAAATACTATACCAAGTCTTTATTTGTCCAACAAACTTTTTGAAGGTTGTTTAGTCGGAAAGCAATCCATAAATTCCTTTGTTTTGACTATGCCAATGAGATCATCCGACATACTCGAAGTGGTACATTCAGATGTATGTGGCTTGTTTGAAGAACATACTGTTGTACCCCAAAATTTTCCCTCCCATATTCTTCAAGATTTCTCAAGAATGACCCTCAAATTGCTCAAGTCTACTCAAGAATTGCACAGTCCAAACACCTCCTAAGCCAGCTGAAATTAGGGTTTTGGTTCTTTCAAGGAATTGGAGGTTTTCAATGGTTCAATCAAGTCTCATGGTCCTATATGCATTCTCAAGCATCTACATGCCAAGTTTCAAGACTCACAGTGCCAATTTGCACAGTCAAAAGCCTCATTTGATCCATAGTCAACTGCAGGGGCAAAATGGTCATTTTACAGTCAAAAGTCAGAATTTTTGGTCAACATCTTATTTTGAGTCCACAATCATCATTTGATCAAGTCTTGATCATGATTCCACAAGAATGGCTCAAAAATCATCAAGATGCAAAAAGTTACTATTTTTGGACAGTAGAAAAGTCAACTATATCTTGACCAGGGCATAACTTTTTCATGGTTCATCAGAAAAATCCCATCCAATTCTCATTTTGAAGGGGATTACATTTCCTATAATCTATCTTCACATTCCAAGTCCAAGAAATGCTCTCATAAAAAGTTGTCAATTTCTACATTATAGGTCAAATTCAAAAGTCAACAAAAATGCACTTTAATTCAAAGACAATAACTTGAGATTGGTAAATCCAAATGACATGGGACCAAAGGAGTTGGTTATAGGACTTCAAGACCTTTCCAAAATGTCCAAGAACATGTTCATAGGATCGAAATTGAGCAAGATATGCATTGGAGAAGTTGGGAAATTTTCATGAATTTGCAAAAGTCAACTTTGCTCAAAACACCTTGTTTTTGCTAATGGGCCTCAAATTTCTTCTTGAAACTTCATTCATGGCCTATGCACGACCCACCAAGCTTAATTGAATTATTTTCTTATTTTTATTAATTAATTGGATTTTTAATTGATTTTAATTCATTTAATTAATTTAAAATGTAGGAAATACAAAGATTTGATTTTTTCATTCTTTTTGTGAAGCAAATGTGGTCAACATATGTTGAAAATTTCGTGTGCAAATCAAAGAGACAAAAATCTCCCAAATTGGCAACTTTCTTCAATCAAAAAGATTCAAAAATATTTGATTTTCAATCAAATATGCAATCATCATTCCAAGGGATTTTTGTGCAAGATTCTGACCTAAATCCAGTCCCCTATATATACACAAACTAACCCTACTCATGCATACGTGAAAGCTGCTGCAAGAAAGCCATAACCAATTCAAAAAAATTCAAGAAAACTTGAAAACTGTTTTCTATATTCCAGGCCAATTCAAAGGCTTTTATTGATTCTAATCTATTGCAGGGGTTCCCAGGAACGTGTAGGAATCAAAACCAAGCACTAAAGCTCAAGAAATCATCATTTACAGTCACACGGTTTGATGCTTTTTTTCATAATCGCAACTCATGATTCATAAGCATTTGACATGATTTTTTGTTTGTTTTGTGTTGCTAGAACCCACAGGAAGCTATGGGCATAGTTTAATTGGATTAAAACGCACAGAATCACAAGTTGCCATGTTTGAATTTTAGGGTTCATGAACTTTGGATTTGGGGCTTTACAGTACAGGAAAAATTAAGCCTCATAAGACCCATGGTTGGAACCGTTGAATCCAGACGAACACAAAGCCATCCTCGCGAAATATTTATATAAAACACAGGCCTAATCGCTATTTTTCCTCATGATATATTGTGGGGGTTAAAACCCCCCGCTATCTATTTGTTTTTTACAAGCATCAGCGACGAAGATGATGAGGTGGTGGTATACCATTGGGTGGTTTAAAATAACGCGCGTGATTTTGTTGTTTCCAGCATAATTGTTATTTTTTATATATTATATTCACTTGTCATTATATTAACAAAACCAGGCAAATGGCGTAGTGGTTAGTGTGCTGGCATGGAATCATTGGGACCTGGGTTCGAATCCCAGGTCCCCCAAAACATTATTTGCTCTTTTTTCTCAGGTATTCCAGTACAAGGCTTGCAAAGGAGTTTACCATGTGCCTCTAATCATCCAAGCGCCATGTGGCTATGGGCACAAATCCAAGAGTCATGAGATGATGACTACCATGCTCCCAGTCAACCAACGCCCTGGACAATCACAAAAGTCAAATGGACTGGGATTGTTATTGGGCCTGAAATTGCTTCTTCACCTCCTTCTGGGCCCAGCACCCCCCTGGTTTCTTTTTTCTCTTTATATTTTCTATTTTATTTATTTAACTATTTTAATTATTATTATTATTATTATTATTATTTAATTAACTCAATTAATTTTTCACAATAAAAATTCAGGAAACTAAAAAACATAATATTTTTATTATTATTAATTTCACCTTAATTTATTATTTTTGTAAATAAATGTAATTAATTAATTTAGTTGTTTTAATTAGGTTAACTTTAATTATTTTCATAACAAATAAAATAAATTAGAATTAGGGTTTTCTTGACAATTTTAATTTCTTTTCTTTCATTAAAACATAAAAAACATAAAAAAAACATTTCTTTTATTTAATTAAATGCAAAAAGGACAAAAATTTCTTTATTTCTCAAAAAGGGTCAAAACCCTAAAGACTTCCTCCGATTTAATTTCTTTTCACGCATAATAT